TAAGTTGAATGTTACCGCATGACCGTTACGTGCGCTTGAGGCAATAATTGAACTAGGTCTTCTGACTACCGCCATTGTATAAGTGGGCCGGCGGCATTCTACTATTTTCCTTGATAAATCACTGCCTCCAACTGTTCATCTTACTTTGATTATATTCTGTTCTAGGTTCCAGAAGCCTCATAGAGATTCTCTCGTTCAGATTTCTTTGCTCACCTACGCAATTGTCCTTTTAAAAGTCTCGCAAAATTGTCATAGTTCAAAATCGCTATAAATATTTCAAGAATCCTTCAAAAACACCAAAAAATGGTAAAAAAGGTCAAATCCGAGCGAAATCAGCTGATAGCAGCATGAACATACCCTCGATACATAGAGCCACGTACTCCGGTAACCTTCACTTTGAAGGCTATGAGGGGACACAACCTTTACCTGGAAAAAAACAGAAGTCATCCGGGGCGAAGCCCCGGATGTTATCATCCTGACTATTTCGGAACGAATGCTAATGAAGCAAATATAGGGAATAATATCGTTAGTTAATCTCAGCGAAACTGAGAACTTGCGTTTTATAGCCTTTTTTACGTTGGAAGGAAGGTTTCTTTGGAATTTTCGCCAGAATTCAAGACGAAATTTCTCTGTTAACCTATTATTTGACCAAAATTGAGTATCAGAAGTTTAGGAAAGCTGTTAGAGTTATATTACAAGAGAAACTGCGCTTAAATCTTGCGCAAAGAGTTGCGCACGAAAAGCTGGTCTATCTCGTTAATGAGTGATTTTTAAAGCTTGAGACATTGTCAGTTCTCCTCGTCGTGTCATGACGATCAGAATGATATATAATGTTGCAGAGTTTCGTTGAGACCCCGCAGAGATCTACGACCAGAGCCAAATGCCCCATCGGCTCTGGTCTGGCTCCGCTGCTCGTCTGCGTCTCCGCGCGCTGCGCGCTACCTCGCTACCCCAAACGCGGGGCGTGGGGCATCTGGCTCTCGTACCCTTTTCTCCGCTATTTCGAACCCAATTTTCACAAGCTATATATCATTTTAAAGCTCTTGATCTTTATTTTCACGCTGACAACGTCCCAGAACCACATTCTTTGATTTAATCGAGAAATCCGGCAAGAACCTTGTTTTTGAAAATCTCTTGTTTTTCTTCTAGTTTAACTCTTTTCACGCGGTTTTTTCGTGCATTCTATAGATCTTGCTTCTGCTCATAATGCAGACAACCACCCAGCCCTTACTTCTTCGATTATGGTGGAATTTTTTGCGAAAAATCGTAAAAAGTGCGTTTTTCTTTACATTGTTCTTTTTCAGTGCTTTCGCAGCGATTTTTTTCCAGCTTGGGCGATTGTTGCTTAGAACAATAGGCGCAACTATCTAGACAACGTCCCAGGAAACAGGAACGTCAATGCGGGGGTAAAAATTTAAAGGACACATCAAAAATCAAAACCCCGTGTTTCGAATTGCTGGTCCTGGAGCGAAAACTTGCACCTTGAAAAGCCGCCGAATGAAAGATTTCAAACCTCATTGCAGCGTTTTTATCCGGTTTTCAACAGTTTCCTTTGCCTTTTATATCTGTTTTACGTCATTTTCTCTTCTCTGATCTTCCTTAAACAATGTTCACTTTTTATGAGGTGAGATGTTCAAGCAACCTTCACTTTTGAGGCCCTGTCTCTAGACTATCGAAGGTATGAGCATGAAGCAGCTGAGAAAAGCTCACGAAAAATGAGCTTCATATCGCGTAGCAGAGGAGCAGCGGCGTCGCTTGGCTGCAGTCGATACGCATAAAAAGCGTTGCTGCTAGCAGCGACACATCGTCAGCTATAGCCACTTATCGTCAGGTATGTGTATAAAGCCTTAAAACTACTAAAACACTACTCCGAACCAGGAAATGAAAGACACGGGACGAGCCGCCTCGTCCCGTGCTGCCGATGCTTGATTGTTATCACTCTAGCAAGAAGTTCCGGGTTCTCCGCCGGGTCAACCGCAAGCCCCTAGCCCTTCCGGGACGTTGTGACCCCTCTCCACTTCCGCAATCCTTTCCTTTGCCGACAAACTACAGTACTAACAAGGGAAGGAAGGTGGGTCGAAGTGGCCTTTCAGAATGAGGTGGGTATCATCTTGTAGGGCTTCGAACGCTGATTTCAAATCTGCCTTCCTTATCTGCGGCGCGTTTTTGAGCGAGGAGTTATGAGGGTTTGTAGGGGGCGGAAGTCGATACAAGTACAATCAAGGAGAGGGTAGTGCTGTGTGCTGTCTGGTGTAGTGGTTAGTATGGTGGTCTTGCGGGCAGAGGCTCCCAGGTTCGAATCTCCTGTTGTGGTTTTTCTTTTGCTGGTCTACAAAAAATTTGTATGAGCACGCGTATCGTCTGTACATCACCTCTTCCTTCTTTTAACTGCAAATTTCTCAAAAAGGTTTTAATACCCTACGTCTATGTGCACTGATGAAAGGAGTGGACAAAATGTGCAAAACATAGGCATTTTTCAAAATGAGAGCAGCGAATGAAGGCTACTTCTGAACAATCCGTATGGTCACAGTCTCCTATCAAACTGGAATGGAAGCGGTACTGTCCAGGCGTTTCAAAATTTCCAGGATGTGCATCAAGGTAGTCGCTGGCGTACCAGAAATAAGCTGAACATTGTCGAATATGTTGATAACACTGTGACCTCTTACGTTCACCCGGGTATTACGTGACGAATTGATTCTTTTGACATTTCTACCTCCACTTCAAATCACTTGCAAAGACCTTCAGAGAGAGCAGTTATTGCCTCGAGATTCTAATAAAAGAAACAGGGGGTGATGTACAGACGATACGCGTGCTCATACAAATTTTTTGTAGACCAGCAAAAGAAAAACTACACGGGAGATTCGAACCTGGGAGCCTCTGACTGGAAGACCACCATACCAACCACTACACCAGACAGCACACAGCGGAGTTTTGTCCTTGATTGTACTTGTATCGACTTCCTCCCCCCTAAAAACCCTCATAACTCCTCGCCCAAATACGCGCCGCAGATAAGGCAGATTTGAAAACAGCGTTCGAAGCCCTACAAGATGATACCCACCTAATTCTGAAAGGCCACTTCGACCCACCTTCCTTCCCTTGTAAGCTGCGCTCTCTCCAAACACAAGAAGTTAAACAAGGGCTCTACCGCTCGAAACCGTCGATCATTTGCGGGAGCTACTGGAGGCGCTGCCAGCGTGGTGATTTCATCCATCAAAAATTGATAACGAACGGAACTCGAAGATGCGTGCACCTCGGCGCGCGCCGCTTTACATACCCTTTGACTTGGCAACACGCCCAGCAGGAGAGGTCCAGAGGCGAATTAAGTAGCGCGCCCAGTAACGCGACAGCCAGCGCCCCGGCCTGCTGTTCCGAGGAGTGGCTTGCATCGCGAGCCGCGACAGGAGGGTCCCAGAGCGAACGTAATGTCAAAGTGAGCGAAGCATTTCCGGGTCACGGCGACGACGCAGATGCGGAGGGTTTGGGGACGGATTTCTCAGCTGTGTATGAATCATTTGCACTGCCGCTTAGGCAGCCGTAGTCATGGCTCCCTCATCAGTTTCCAGTGAAAACCCTTGCGCCCAATCGTGCCTGAACATGCCTTTAACTTTCAAGTCTTTTCTATTTTTGCAGTATAAACAGCATCTGCGGTAAACGAACTTGCTGTCAACAACCCTGTCTGAGCTATCACGGATGCTACACGATTGATATCAGCGCGTCAAGATTGTCTTGTTAACGTTCAAATCTATGGAGACGTTGAAGGAATTATTAGTCAGATTGTATGCTTAGTGGTATCCGAATGCCATTAATTGAAGAAATTCAGCTTTGCAAGCGCGCAATATTGCGTGCGTCATATTGATATCGCTTAGCATTATCTTCGCGCATACAAAAAGGCGAACCAAATAAACTTTTGGCTTTATTCTTTAACTTCCTCAAGTCACCTCTACCTAAGTAAGCAAAGCCCCAAAAATATAATGTAGACAAAGCCCAATGTTCTTTCATTATTACGATTGCTTTCAGTTGGAATCTGAAATTTTGAATCATAGTTTGGATCTAGTTTATAAAACAAGAGTTTTCTAATTACCCTTTTTTCCAGAATTTTTGCAATTCTGCTGAGATATAATTTTCCTTGTTTACCCAAGATCTCAAGTCAGTGATCTATAATAAAGAAGAGATTATGCTCTACTCCCCACCTTAATTTGAGACTGATATCACTCTTGGTGGTGTAACAGTCCAAAACCAAACGCTGGGGCGCACCGTCGTTCTCTACTGATTCCTGGTTGATCTGTTTGCAGTTATAAAGGATAAAAGATAAAGGATTCGGCGTCTTCAATACCCTCTGTGGGTATGCGCCGAATGCCACTTCGTAGTCAAAGAGGCTACTGAATGCGTGCGGACCTATTAGAGTGGCTTGTGGGAGCCAGCCAATTACCAGGTTTTGTTTTTATCCTCCCAGGTTACTTTGGTACCAATTCACTGGCCCGGAAGATAGAGGGCTTGGTTGGTCCAAGGGTATGGTCGAACCTGGGTCCGACCTGGTCATAGCGGCGCCTCATACCACTACACCACTCGTCCCCCTCTTGCAGTTATCATTCTTTCAAATGGACAGATGGAGACCGTTCCAAATCAAACTTATCATAGTTTGATCTCCAAGGTCTCGCTCACATGCAGGAATAGAAAAGCTATGAATCTTTCATATTGGTGAGATGTTTTAGGGGGCAAACTACACTCTATATATGACCCTTATATCACATCATCTTCAATTCCAACAATGGAACAACCTCTCGAAAATGTATAAACATTGTGCAGCATCTATCTCATATGTGAAAGATAGAGGTGGTAGAAACAGAGTACATGAATCCGTAGACAGCACTGAAGTAGGTAATGCGTACAGCATGATGATAATAAAGCGCACTCTTATTGTACCCAGCTAATTATTGGATTCGGTGGGTACCTATTCATCATAACAATGTGGAAACATTTTTACAGATATGGTGTCTAGTCTATAGAGTTGTTGATTTCAGCTCATACATGTCGATATCTCTAATTCCATTTTCAACAATTCCACTGTGATCGAAGCTCATCGAATATGCGATTGACGCCAGTGGTACGATCGCGGTGAACTGCGCAACGAATCTGATCAGGAACGTTTTTGCGCTTAGACCACAATACAATAGGTAATGCCAAGGCGTATAGGTAAGACGTACTGGTGACTAAAAAATAATTGTGAAAAATGATGCTGAATAAAAAAACGAGCTTACTTTCTACAAGTGAGTAATACATAGGTTTTGAAAAAGTTGCGTTGTTAAAAATAACTACGCTGAAACCAATAAGGTATACAATCATAAAAGTAGTGTTGGTATAGACAAAGACTTTGATCGTACCAATAGTCCTGAACGAGTTCAATATGCAGCAAAACCTTTAGCTAGCGAAAAGAAGCTAGAAAACTAGTAACAAAATTCGAGAAATTCATGGTGCAGCATGCTGTCGCTGCGCACACATACCATAAATTTTCTTCAATTTGATATCTTTTTGATAAACTATTAGTGGCAGACGATTGACAGAGCATCTGAAGATAAAGTTTTGATATAACTATACAAAATTGATTTTTAAAGTAACTGTTCTCTTTAGAGTACATGACAAACACAAAAATACAATCTGTGGCGGATGCAAGAAGAAGCGGGAAGAGAGAAAGGATGATAGTGAGATTCAAAATTTATGAAAGTGGTTTCAAGCCTTTTTTAACATCTGAGCTTCTAATCTTTATGAGCAAATACTAGGTCATTGCAAAAGTTCTTTCAGTCTCTGACCTATTATAAATTTTAATTTGGAAATTGAGACAAAATGAGTGATTCAACACTGGTTTTACAAAGCAATTTGAGCATTTTCCTCTTCTATTCCGGATACAGCTTGAGGTGCTTTCAGAATCGAGAGTCACTAGTTTTGTCGAATGAAAAGAGAAACATTTTTTTGAAAAAAAAAACGGCCTTAAGGATGTCGTAATTGTGCCCCGGTTGATGTTCTATATGTTTGGAATGCCCCAGTATGGATTTGATAACTTCAGGAAATATTTTAGTAAATTTTGAAAACAGCTAAAGATGCCAAAAAGGGTGGGGGAACGAAAGCCGCCAGGGCCTTTCGCGGCCAGCTGGTCCTTTCGCAGCATTGTTGCATGTCGTTCCAGGACCAGCAGTCCGCGGAGGCGGCTGGACCTGGCGGCTTTCGTTCCCCCAACCTGCCAAAAACTGCTTACTATATCCTAAAACTTTTTCAGTAGTTTAGACTAAAATTCAAAATATTGATGAATTTGGTTACACTGCATAAGCTAAAAATTTCGGCCTATCTTAGTGAACGCAAAAGTAGCAACTTCAGAAAATGACTGGAAAAAACAGCTGCTGGATACATGTTTTTACACATTGAGACCGCTTGACACACCATGTGTGTTAAGCAATGACTACCAGGTGGGACCGCTTGACACACATGGTGTCTTAAGACTTGCACGTCGTTAAAATAACGACTATCCTAATACGAAATCATTTCAGAAGTTTCCTTTCGCTGTGAAGACGAACTTGAAAGCTATAGAAACGCAGCAATTACTGATTTTAATCTAGGGATATTTTAATCCATAAATCTTTTGGATAAGCATTTAGTCAAAATTGGTTGGTATAAAAAAGCTTTCATTGCTTTCTGAACATTAATCCTTCGTTTTTCCTGGCGCAGTATCCAAATGTCCAGCGCGGCGTACTTCTGCCTGCTATCCAAAATCCAGTCCAATATTTTCATTCCTAAGCTTTTTAAGAAAGTTCTATAGCTATGTTGTTGCCACAAGCTCTTTATGAGCTACATGTTCAACCTGGAGCACGCAAACACCGTGAAGGAGTGGAACAAACTTCGAAAAAGGGGCGGTATTTATCAATCTCCCGCTCGCTGTTCGGACGCATTTCATCGTTATACACGGCCCGGACAGGCGAGAGCGTTCAAACTGTGATTTCTGTGAGGTTATTTAGCATGGCCTGAACGAGCATCAGAGCCCGATCTGTCGAGATCAGGCCTGCGATGGTAATGGGAGTTTCCGATAATTAATGTGGTTCATTAGCCTTCCATTTTACACTATTTAATATGTACTGTTCTCATTAAGCCAAAAATAAGACTTTTCGATATATTTTTGTATGTCAAACTTACCCCATGCTATGAATTGTCCTACAGTACATATTGAACCAATCAATGGTATTTGGAACAAATTGACGGTTTCCAGCACTTTGCAAGAAAAACGATCCTAGTCTCTCTATAGCTCTTAAATTGTTACGTGGTCACTAAATGTGCATACCAATGGAAAAACTGTGCTCGATAGCTGAAAGGAAAGAACGGAGCAAGAAGAGATGGGTTTCCATGCCTTTCTCATATGCAAAGTTTACGCCAGCAGGCGTTCTGGATATGCGCCCCTCGCGCTCTTGGCGCGTGCTGTTCTCGTTCCCGACAGGTATGAGAGGATGTGGTGGACATTGATAATTACCGCCCAGGACATGCCATGGTAGTCGCATATGCCAGGATTTTGAAGTGCTTTACTATGTTTGTGAGTACATAATGTTTCATCAATGTGCTCGAATGTTCGTGACACATCAGGTTGTTACGGTGGTATTTTTATTGACTATATATTTCGAGCTATGTCGCCTTCTTCGGAAGTCTCAAATTCACCTAGATGTTAGTACAAAGTTAGCAGTCGCACAGCAGTAACGGACACGACACTCTACTCTTAACGTTCCACCAATTTTTTTGTTTTAGGTTTCCGTTTTAATTCTATCTCAGAAGGTGCTAGGGGCTTGAACTGTTGACTTACTATAGATATGGTCATTTCTTTTGAGTAATTATCTGATTAATGACATGCGAAGCTGGTTCGAAAGAAGTCGCGCAGAAACTAGTTATTGTTACATGCATGAACTCACAACACGTGTAGACAATCATATATGTAACTACTTCAAAGAGGGGCGTGCTCTGGAACGTAAGCTTGCAATTTGTTCCATGCACGCATACAGTGTTTACAAATTTCAAGGCATTTGAAACAGCGCTAAGCTTATGATTACCTTGTTTTTACGGCTCGCTGTCTCGAAAATCATGACAGAAACAAATTGCAGAACGAGCAAAAACGCAAATGGATAAATTGTCCACATGTAATTTGAAGTTGAAGTTCCTTGACAGTAGTAAACTAGACTATAATCAAGTCTCGTTTGTGAATACATAATCCCGTTGATAACTGCACTCAAAAGCAGCTAAATAGGAGGTGATATGGTTGTCTTTAATTGACTTCAAGGATACCTGTGAAGCCAGCAGACAATAGCCGACATAGCGGTAAGCACCCTCATAGTTGCCGTAGTTGAATGTGGCAAAGAGACGTTCTAATGCTATAAATATGGCCGAGCAATTCAGTAGATTCGTTGCTACATTATAAGGTAGACGCAAATAGAAACATCTAAACTTAATTCTGACTAGAGTTCTATTTAAAAAAAGGCTTACTGAGTTTTTGTGCGCATGATTGCGCAGCCGTCGGTGAATGGAGTACTATAGACGATAAGATCAGCTGTGTGCAGCATTACCCTTAATATAATAATCACTCACAATATGCACGAGTAAAAGATTTACCTTCCTAGGCAGTATATTATCAAGCTTGCAATATGGAAACATACAAGTACCCTTGAATTGCGATGCATCAACTTCGTTCTCCATAAGCACACCAGCCAGTAGAGGAGCAGAGGACTGGCAGTCGCGCAGCATGCACTACATATAATCAGTGATAAATTCAAAATCTTGGAGGTGGCCATCTCTGCCATGGCGTCACAGTCCATCTAAAAACGCTTTCTGTCTAAATGCAAGCTTTACGTTTGATTATGTGATGTAGGTCTAAGCCGGAATGAAACAAGCAATGATTAATGTTTTGGAAGAAGTAGCGCCCTCAAAGTTTGATGCAAAAAAAACTTCCTCCAAATGTTAGCTAAGAGAGATGGCAGACGGAAGTATCAGACATCCATCTAGACTTATGCGCCCCTCAATCTCAAAAACAAAGGCAAATAAGGATAGGAGCGTTGAAGAAGGGATAAGTATGTATTTATTGGGTTGAACCAAACGTTTTGCCGCTTTTTTGGAAAATTCGTAACTGCTCCCTATGTGGTCGTATTCATTTACAAAAATGCCATCAGAAAAAAATTCATCTATTTTCCGATAGCTGCGCTGAGGCTCTTTGATGACAAGGGACTCCAAAGATAAAAATTTTGATAGAAAGCTCACTAAAACTCCCACTCGAAAATAATCTTCAAAAATTTGATAGCATGTTTCTCATAGTTTTGTGAGCTGCTTTTTCTAGAAGCGCCAAGTTTGTATTAATCGAGCTTACTGCGGAAAATTTGACTTTCGCGAAAAATGCAAAAAAACGCAAAAATGGAGTTGCATTTTCTGCATTTTTCACGAAAATCATAACTTTTCGTAGAAGAACTCAATTCATATAAATTTGGCACTGTTAGAAAAAGCAGTCACAAAACCTGTAAGAAACATAATCTCAGTTTTTTCTGCAGCCTTTCAGCTTTTTAACGATTTGTTTTTGCGGGAGTTTGAGTGAATCTCCTATTTAAGAAGATAAGCCAGCTGATTTTCGATGAGAAACCATTTTCTTGAAGTCTTTTTATGGTCTTGAAAAGCACCATTAGAACAAGAGGTATGGCCAACTTATCAAAGTATTTGTAAGGTATTTGCAATAAACCAATATCTTACAATATTACAAAAATAAACTTACCTATTTTAATTATAAGATTATAAGATTGCATTTATTAATTACAAAGTTGTATAAATGGTATTAAGATTGATATTGTTAGGGAAATTTTTTGATATTTGGTGTTAAATCTACAGGGTGGTCCACATGAAGTGTGACACAACAAAAAATATTATAACTGTGCAAGGACTGAATGAAATCAGAAGCTCTTGTCCTCACTTGATAGCGAAGAGAATTCTGTATAATTCTGTAAACTATGAAGTAACGTTCGAAATATTTGTCCCTGCTTTTTCTGAAAACTTTTTTCTCCTTCAAACTTCTTCCAAAGATTCTTCGTTTTGCGCGCGATGGTTTCTGCTCCCAAGCTCTCACCGGGTTTCTCCTTGGCAAATCAAATGACATGGGTCTTAAAGAGCAGAGTTTTTCCTTTCAGGCTGACGGAAAAGATTGTTTGTTGGTTCAAGGATGGGCGAGCAAGAGGGCCAAACGTCATTTTTTTCCAGTGTCCAAACGATGGATTTTACACAACTTTAATTTCTTCTTTTCGCTGTAAATTGGTATCTAGTCATGCTAAAAATTCCCAAAAGCGTCTATAGAATTTCCTCTGACCCAAGAAAGTGCCACAGCGCTTCAGAGTTTGCTTTCAATGCTTTTTCCAAAATTTCGAAAGATTGCGGTTTTGTTGCCATGGCGACTGCCTTTAATAAACCTTCAAGCTTGACCATGTTTTAGTAAGAACCGAAGTCGGAAACAAGCACAACGGGATAAAAGAATATGGAGAAGACGAATATCTTCGAAACCTGGAATGAAATAGACCAAAAAATGGTTTTTTCGCAGTCCATCAAACTTCATATTTGCCACATACGAACAGACAATTTTGGCCTTCCGAATCGAACAATCTCAAATCCACAGATTCTCCGCCTTTTCTATCTGTAAGCAAAAGGTCCGCTCTTCCAAACCCGGATCATTAGATTTGCTAAAGGAGACACAGTGAGAGCCTGGGATGAAATTTTTGCCAAAAACCATTACGCGCATTTTGAAAATTTCTCCGAGCAGAACAAATTCTGTCATCAAGTGGAAGATGGACTTCTTCGAAGCAGTCTATGAGGTATACAGAATTTTTTGTGTTTCAGATGGAAACAGAAGCTTTTAAAAAAACAAAAGAAAAAACAGAAACAGAAGCTTTTAATTTCATTGAGTATTAGCAAAGTTCGAAAGCTTTTGTGCGTCACATTTCATGTGGACCACCCTGTATATAAACTGATCAATATAATAAATATTAGGTTGGCACGAAAGTTCTTGCGTAATTCAAACAAAATTCAGTAACTTTCCAAAGACTAAACCTAAATTCACTTTTTTGTATGCTAAAAATATTTGAAGCCTTACGCTTCATGATGGATGTTTAAGCGTAAAATTCCGTGAGCTGGTCATCAAGAACGAAGCTCTAAAATACGGGCTTCAAAATTTGCGATTTTGAGTTTGGTGGCAGAAAATCGCAGAGGGCCGCTGCCTAGCCGAAAAAAAATCTGTAGAATTTACTTATACAACAAAAGTCCATATGTTACTTTGGAAGGCTTTGATCTTGCACGGTGAAGCAAAAACAAAAAATTCGTGAGATATGTCACTTGGCGGAAAAAATCCCCTCATGCCCGCAGTTTTCCGGCGAAAACACTTTTTTACAATCGAGAAAAAGTCGCAAGGCTCTAAATAGGCACTATGTCTAATTTCTGGTTACAAACTGTGCTTCTATGGAAAAATTAGAGCGATAAGAGGATTTGTCCTGTAAAATGAGAAATTTCACAAATTTTTTGTTTTCGCATTTCCATGCGAGATCAAAGCCTGCTAAAATAACGTATGGACTTCTGCTGTGTAGGTAAATTCTATAGATTTTTTTCGGCTAGCCAGCGGCCCTCTGCGATTTTCTGCCACCAAACTCAAAATCGCAAATTTTGAGGCCCATATTTGAGAGCTTCGTTCTCGATGGCTAGCTCATGGAATATGTATTGTGCTTGAACTTCCATCATGGAGCGTGAGACTTCTAATATTTTTAGCATACAAGATTATGAATTTAGGTTTAGTTTTTGTAAAGTTATTGAATTTCGTTTGAATTACGCAAGAACTTTCGTGCCAACCTAATATATTAATTCATTCCGAAAGTAATTTCGCTTTCTTCAAAAGGATGCAGCATGTGATGGAACAAAAATTTCTAAGAGATCTTGATAGCATTCGATGCAGAATTTTATTCTCTTTCCAACGGTTATAAAATTGGTGCAGCACAGTTGATGAGCTTTTGAAAAATTGAGAAAGTCTGCGATTCATGCTTTCTGAGATGCTCAAGTTTCACAATTTTTCTAAATTCGGATATCACTTCTCCGCAAGAGTCCAAGTAGCGATTCGATAGAGCAGACTCTACAGAATACAGACCATTTTTTCCTTCAAATAACTCCTCAAGATTTTTTAATATAATTTTAATTGATGGTACCAATTTCCATTCTTAGTCAACTCAAACATGGTAGAACATCAAACGGTGAGCAGCTTGAGAGTCGTTCGATGCAGCTTGTTCTCCTCTTTCTAATGGATGCTTTTTGTTTCCCCTTCGTGGAGTTTTCGCGCAAAAAATCATCATAATTCATATTTTCGAACGCTTGGCTGTACCCGGAAAAATCGAACTGAGATATTTCGATTCCGTAAACTCTCATTCGCTTTGCAAAATTAGTGCTAAGTCATAATGCCGTCTTGGAAGTTTCAAATTCCAAAGATTTACTGGTGTTTGATGCGAATGTGGCTGACGAAGGCCTGTCAAAATTTGATGATCTTGATTATAAATCTTTTAAGATATTATGGCGAAATATGCAAACGAGAAAAAAGTTACGGCATATCCTACGAGGTTTGCTCTATCGAATTGTTACTTGAACTCCTTCGGAGGGTTGATGTAAAAATTCACAAAAATTGTGAGATTTGAGCATCTCAAAAGCATGGATCGCAAACTTTCGCAATTTTTCAATAGCTCATTGACTTTGGTGCAATCTTATATATAAAGCTGAATGTCTGTTTGTATGTATGTCTGTCTGTATGTATGTCTGTCTGTCTGTACGTATGTTCCAAATAGAAAATTCCGTTTTTGAACCGATCCGGACCAAACTTGGCACACATACGCTACGGGCCCCGGCGGGTGTCATAGGCTACTTTTCGTCATCGATCGATATCGATTTTATCAATTTTTATCAATTTTTTTGCTGAGTTCACCTACGGGGCTGGGAGTTGGCACAGGGGGGTAATCGAGCATGGGGATTCCGAATACAATATTGGTTTTCAGGATTATCGATTACTTTTATCGATTTTATCGATTTTTTGCAAAGTTTGAGCTACGGGGCTGGGAGTTCGCACAGGGGGGTAATCGAGCATGGGGATTCCGAATACAATATTGGTTTTCGGGATTATCGATTACTTTTATCGATTTTATCGATTTTTTTGCAAAGTTTGAGCTAGGGGGCTGGGAGTTGGCCAGGGGTGTAATCGAGCATGCTGATCACCCCCCCCCCCCCCTTGGGGATGATCAGCATGCTCGATTACACCCCTGTGCCAAATTCCAGCCCCCTAGCTCAAATTTTCAAAAAATCGATAAAATCGATAAAAGTAATGGACGATCTTGAAAACTAATATTGTATTCGTAATCTGCATGCTCGATTACCCCCCCCCTTTGCAAACTCCCAGCCCCGCAGGTCAAACTTTACAAAAAAAAATCGATAAAATCGATAAAAGTAATGGACGATCCTGAAAACTAATATTGTGTTCGTAATCAGCATGCTCGATTACCCCCCTGTGCAAAAT